AAGGAAAGCTCAAGGCATCAAAAAAGTGCAAAGTACTCTACAAAATCTCAATGACCGAACTTTTGCTTTTAGAGCAGGGAAACTCTTCACAAAGTAAAGCTATATGCTAGACAGACACTGTGCTGTTGAGAATTTTTAAATGATAGATAGCTTGAATTAGAGATGGACATCTATTAAGAAAACATGCCAAGCACCCTGTTTGGTTTTCTCATATGAGGACATTAACCATCAATTAAGTACACAACAAAGAATCAAACACAGTAATCCTTGGTTTTGAGGGGAAATATTAAGTATGAAAGTGGAAATTAGGACCCAAAAGAAGCCCTTGGACCCTGACCTCTCCTTTTCTCAATTTCCAAAATGGTGGTTGGCAGTAAGTGGTAGGGTACTGAGCTTCTGAGGTAAAGGAACAGAAAAAGTAAAAGAGTTTAGTAGTAGTAGCTGTAAAAGCCAACACATGTACAAAACTTTGTGCAGGCATTTGGGGTTTCAGAACCTAACCGTCCGTACTAAATAACAGGACGTAGTTATAACCATGGAGTGGTTTAGGGTCTTTAGACCACGCAAAATAAGTGCTTTTGGTTTGCATTGACTATTTTGTCCCTTCTTCCCAAAATGATGAGATTAGAAGTGTGCATACAAGACCTTGATGAGAACTGTACTCCAATTTTGTGGTTGATTCTAGTGGTGACTTGGTCTTCCAAGTTCTTTGTTATCGGTGGAATGTGACAATTAGGCTTTCCATGAGAATCAATAGACCATTATCAAGCTTCCTCTAAGTCAATTTGGAGGAGAGATTATTAGATAGCAACTAAGTTTTTTTATAGTTTTAGACAACTTACAAAATAGACAAACATTGCTCTAATACTTGAGGTAAATATTGTATTCGAGGAAAGCTTGTGCACTCTGTAGACAAGAGGTAGAATGAAAATTAAAGGAAAAAATAATTATTACTATGTTAAGTCTAAGTCATGAAGTTTCAGATAAAAATAATTTATTATTTTTCATATAACACTTCTCACTAAATTCAAGTTTGAGTACACTTGCGGCTTTAACCGCGATGGAAGTGTATCAACATCTTTGTTTTCTTTGTCAATGGTTCAAGCTGTCAGTATAGTAATATTGTAATTATTCCCTCATTCCTCAATTTCTCATTGGTCAATAAATAAATAAATAAAGTTCGAATTATTTTTACTTCCCTTTTCTTACAATGTAATTCTATTAAAAAAAAATTATATTACATCTAAATCTATAATAAAATGTGTGATTTAATAAAATTATTTGATTATAATTTATACTTACCTCTTGATTCATGTGTTCTAGTGGAAGGCTACCAGCTTTCCCTAGTTGCTGCACGCTCTCCAAACCAACTTATATATAGGACCTTGCCATGTGTCTCTCTAAGTACACTATAATTTTCGAGTCTTTAAATTCCAACCTTGGGAGGACAGGGGGCAGAATAGTCCAATGCAGCACAAAAGTACCTTTGCCTGGCTTTTGCCAGCTTCCTGCGCTCCTAATGTAAAAGTAATAATAGATGTCTTATTTTTACTGTCTTTTTAATCACACTCCGACCACTCTCCTATTTTAGTTAGGTTTTATTTATTCCCATCATAAAAAAAAATATTAAAGGTTATCAAAATCTTGAATAATCCAATTCGGTTCAGTAGTATAAATCTTAGATTAAGGTAATTCACTTTTTATGAGTGGTGTATTTAATTTTTATAAATTTTATATATTAAAATCTTAATTCTTCTTTTTTAAGTAATATATAAAACTGTTAATTTGTTAATTAATTTTAATTTATTAATTAGTAAATATTAATTATTGTATTAATTAATTAATAATAATTAAATTAAATTAAATTAATATTTTTAAAAATAATATTTTAAAATTTTAATGATATTAAAATTACATTTTTATTGATGGCTATATTCTTGAGCATGTAGTTTATGGGTTTCCGTGGTATTGTCAGAGACAAGAGCTGTCACTTACAGCAGCTTAGCTGCACGAACAGAGGCAGAGGTGCAGTCATAATATTTGCAGCGGCAGGAGCAGGTGGAATCAGTAGAGGTAAGAAAAAAAGAAAAAAAAAAAGAAAAAAGAGAGAGAGATAAACAGAGGGAAAGCAGAAAAAAAGAGAGATAAAGAGAGGGAGAGCAGGTGGCAGCATTACAATCCGAACCATTAGTTTTTTCCATGTACAGAAGATTCTGCAGGGAAATTGGTCGCTTGCAAAATATACCTTCCCTTTTCCTTCTTCTTTCTTCCACCTTTCACCCAGCAGGAACCCTGTTTTCTGGATCATTTCACCTGTGAAAATACAACTCATCCTACCCCTGCTTCTTCTTCTTCTTCTTGTTGGTGATGAGTGGAGGAAACAGATTTCCCTTCACTGCTTCTCAGTGGCAAGAGCTTGAACACCAAGCTCTGTTCTTCAAGTACTTGATCTCTGGTATCCCTATTCCTCCTGATCTCCTAATCTCCATCAAAAGGAGTTGTTTTGATTCCTCCAGGCTCTTCCCTCGTCAGCCTCAACATGGTAAGTTATTCTGATTCCTTTTTTTTTTTTTTTGAGATTCTGGGTTTTTATTTCTCATGGGGTATTTTGATTTTCAGTCGGCTGGAACTGTTTCCAGATGGGCTTGGGGAGGAAAGTTGATCCGGAACCAGGGCGGTGCCGGAGAACGGACGGAAAGAAATGGAGGTGCTCCAAGGAAGCGTACTTAGATTCCAAGTACTGTGAGAGACACATGCATAGAGGAAAACACCGTTCAAGAAAGCCTGTGGAAGTCACACCTGCAACAGCAGCACCAAATCCGTCGACAGCAACCGTCGCATCAATCGCCAAGAACCACCACCCTCCATCGCATCAGCTTCCTTATCCCGTCAGCCACTCTTTTCTATATCCTCTTACATCAAGACCTACAGGGATTAGTCTGTCACCCCAAGAAAACTCCACCCACTCGCTCCTAGACTCTGGCACTTTCTCTCGGACTAACACAGATTACAGGTTTGAATTCTTTGGAACATAAGAAACCATTTCTTACTTGTTGAAAATATTCGTTTTCTGATGAAGTTTGGTGTGTTTTTTTCGGATGTTTCTTTGAAGAAGGAACAATTACGTTTATGGGGTTAAAGATGAAGTGGATGAGCATGCTTTCTTCTCAGAACCTTCTGGAACAATTAGGAGCTTTTCAGGGACGTCAATAGAGGATTCATGGCAACTAACACCATTAACCATGAGCTCCTCCTCTTCTGCTTCGAAACAGAGGACCTGTGACTACTCATATTTACAGCTTCAGGGCCTCCAAGATCAAACTCCAAAACAGAGCAAGCAAGAGCAGCAACATTTCTATGCATTTGGAAATGAAATCAAAGGTAGAATGGGTACCAAAGTGGAGAAAAATGAAGAAACCCAGAAAACAGTTCATCGTTTCTTTGATGAATGGCCTCCAACGCATAGAGATTCATGGCTTGATTTGGATGATAAATCCTCAAACAAAGCATCAGCTACAACAGCAGCCAGACTCTCTATATCCATTCCCTCCTCTTCTCTTGACTTTCCCATCTTCAATTCCAGAACCCATAATGGTATAAAAAAATTGAATTCCATTCTGTTTTTATTAGTTTTCTTTGTTCATTTTGATGTTTTTCTTTATTATTTCTTCATTTTGGTCTTTGCAGATGGGTGAGATTTCACTTTCCAGAAATGGGGTTTCTGCATTGAAGGCCAACAATTAATGTACTGCTTTGTCTGAATTATTAAGTAGGAGATGAAGTCTTTTTCTATCTTAATTTTAAGCGTTTTGGAGGAGGGAATGAGTACCGATCTTCTAGTTGTGGTTTAATGAAGGGATGGGATCCAATGTTTTTTTATTTTTATTTGAAGTTATATTGAAGTTATATTGAGTCAGCTAAATCTGATTTGTTGGGTAGCTAAAAAGCAAAGGGTGGATGCGTATGACTGTATGTAGCTGTGGCTTTAAATTTCATTTCAAGCACTTACCCTACTCAACCTGTTTCTGCTCACTGCAATAATAGTTAAAGGGCCACTTGCTCGCTGCTCAGGTTCTGCCATCTTGTCGCTTCATTTCTCAGTTAGTAAACATATGTATGTTTTAAAGGAAGAAGCAAAAATCCCCTTTGTACTCTTCAAAACCATTATCATAAGACTCATAATACTTTCATAAATCTGATATATTTTGAGTCATTGAGACATTCCATGTGCTAAATTAGAATACCAATCTTGAAGAAGGGGAAAACATTCGTATATATATCAGGGTGGATTAGGAATCATAGACACATTATTCCCAATCTTGAACTACATTGGAAGAAGGGAATAAGCCATACTTATCCAAAAAGCAGGTCCCTCTCATAACTCTGGCGTATTGCTGTCTTTCGTTTACACACCGACAATGTTTTCTTAGGAAGGAAGATTTACTTTTCTCACAAAAAAAGACAGGAAGATTTCGTACAATGAATTGCGAAGATATTAATTGAGTTCTGGTGTTTTTCTGTTAAGTAAGTATGTGTTAACAATTAACAACTTAAGAGCTTTGATGTTAAGGACACTTTAAGTTCAAAATTTAGGTTGATGATGAGAGACAAATAAAACCATAAATGTGTCCAGCAAAGTGATTTAAAATTTTTATAAAAACTAAAATTATATTTTGAATGATTTTAATATATATAATAACGAAAAAATATTATGTATTCTAAGTTGTATTAAATTATAAAATTTAAATTGTTAAATAAAAATAAAACTCTAATATTAAAAAAAAAATTCATTTAATAATAATTATTTTAAAATTTGATGTAATCTAAATTACATAATAAACTATACAGATTATGAGTTTGTGCAACCAAAATGGTGAATCGAGAGAAGATTAAATATTCATGTTTTAATAAGAGCATGTGGGCATTTTGACAGGTCTGGTCAATGGAGGAAGGGCACTTCTGTCAAGCAACAGCAGCTAGTTGAGGTCCAGTTAAGGTCAAGTCAGGTTTATCTTGGCCAAAAAGAGGGCTAAACTGCATCTGTTCTGAGGCTTTTAGCTTCTGATGGGTAAGTGGGCATCTGCCTGCTTCTGCTTACTTTCGTCCAAAAAAGACAGCAGATATCGTATGTGCTTTTAGAAAAAGACTTACAAATATCAGTAATCAGTGAGGGCCTGAAACCAAAGGGATCACTTTTAATCCTCTACTCCTGCCCCCACATACCTGCTCTGACTCTGACACTGACACGTATGTGTTCATTGCCATTTCTCAGTCACCATAATGAATGTCATGTTTTGCAATGAAGAAACATGTACCATTACATAAAGGAGGATAGCAGTAATATGCTTTTATTTATTTAGTGGTTTGAATAGGGGTGGGCAAAACCGGTTTTCGGTTAAAACCGAAACCGGTTTTGAAATAACCGAATTTTTTTTTTAATTTTAAGAACCAAAATCGAACCAAAATTATTAAAAATGAATTGATTTGGTTATCAATAAATCAGTTTTAAATTGGTTCGATTTTGGTTTTTGATAAATAAATAATAAT